GTATATGTACTGGTAGAAGTTTCTACCGCAGTGTAGAAGGCCATTGGACTTAAATACATAATGTATAAAAAGAGTATAAATTTGTGTATGCAATCTCTTCTTAATATAAATTTATTAATATTTTTGGTTATATAAATGCATGTATATAAATTTGTTCATTAGAATTTTGTTCAAACAAACTTGTCTATATAGATTCCTTTGTATAAATTGTGTTTAGACAAGACACAATGTGCTCCCATACAAATTTGTTTGTAAATAATTAATTTTACATAAACATCTGTATATGGATCTTTATTTTTTATAATATATGTATAACATCGCTCGTTACTATTAAAAACAACTTATAACACAATTTATAAGAAATAGCCTATTGTTATCTTTTTTTTTTTGAAAAACGCCTATTGTTAGCCTTTTTTTTTTTGAGTGGAACGCCTATTGTTAACTAACATACAGAGACCCTAAGATATACTCCTGGTGCAGCCCATGGTCTGAACAAAAGAAAAAACCTGGTCCAGCCCAAGGGAACCCAAACCAGGCCATGCATATTGAAAAGGGGCATGCCTATGGCAGATCCCAAGCCTTTCCCGGCCACTATGGCCCTCGGCCATGCTGCTGGCACCATCGATCCATTTCCATTTAGGCAAAAAAAAAAAAAAAAATCCAGAGTAGCTGCACATGCTTGTTGTTTATCTTGCACAAGCAAGCTCCAATAGCGCCTACCGACTACCGAGCGTAGTGGCGGAAACTCGGATCACATGGAACCAGGGATCGATGGACATGGACATACACATACATGCATTATATGACCTTGCTTGCCCCGGTCAAATGGCGTAGCACACCGTGCTGCCAACCTACTACCAGTCTACCACGTCATGGTTCCACGCATCTCGGGCTACCTACCTGCCACACTTGGACTAATCATCTTCTAACCTTCGAGGACGACTTGTATCAAATTGCATCTTTGGAAGTTTCACAACAAGTCACCTGTCCAAATGACCAATGTTTTTTTTTATCCTAGTATATATATGACCAATACTTCTGTGGAAATTAGCATGCGCGGCTGCAATGTTCGGTACGACACCGGCTGCCAGTCTGCCACTGATGGCAACATCTCTACTCTACGTGTATAGTACTCCTATATTTCAGTTTCTGCAGAAACATCCGCAAGAAATACCGGAACGAAGCAGGGACCGATCTCCCGAGAACGCAACTGCACAGTGAGTGACAGAGGAGTCGATGCTTGCGGCTGTCGTTGCAGCCATGCAATGCGAGCACGCCCTCTGATCTTTCGTCTTGACAGCGACAGGAGAAGCACTGCCCAGTCACAGCGCAATCAGCCCAGTGTCGCCATTGCCGCGGTTTTTCCTTTTTCTTTTTGGAACAATCTTGCGGCAGTTTCTTTTTGTCGTCCTTCTTTCATTGTCGCCGTTGCAGAACTGAAAATTTTCATTGGATGCAAGTTCGCAGGGACCATCGCCTACGCCTGTTTCGTCCGCATCTGCACAAGCGAACGGCACACACGCAACCGGGGCGTGAATAGTTGCTGAAGTCGATTCCTCAACGACGATCGACGACGCACAGGCTGCACTGCACAGCTTGATTGCTGAATGGCATGCGGTGCTCATCAAGTACACAGCGGCAGCGCGCTGCAATCATGCGAGTTATTTAAGGGCAGGCAAACAGGGATACGGCGAGGTCACCAGCCTACCCGCACACGCTACGCATCGGTGAGTTTTGATATATATATAATAGTATCGATCGATCGATCGTTCTCATGATCGTGTACTCCGCGCCAAGAACGTTACAGAACCTACCAAGGGGAGGGGATCAGAGCGAGGGAGGGCAGGCGCAGTGCAGGTCGATCGATAGTTGGCAATATTGGCAACCACCGCCACTGATTGAATTGAACGATGTGAGCTAGTAGGCTAATCCGTTTTTAACACGCATGCTGATGGATGCAACAGACGGACTGAGCTCGACCCTCCCATCTGTTTTGTAGCTGTGGCTATTACTTTGGCTGGCATGGCATGGCATGCGTCCGGCATGACGGCATCCATCCAGGACACGTCTAGAGCTTAGCATGCCCAGCAATGCAAGGCTACTTTGTGCTTGTACCTTTCGAAGCGTACGGGTGCTTGCGGCCGTGGACTGGTCGACTGGAGGATGGTGTGTACGTCGTCAAGCTACTCGGCTGCGCACGCAGGGGGACGAACGACGGGCAGGCATGAATGGTTGGCATTCATCAGGCTCGCACTTCGTAGACATGGCATGCCCCGGCCCCTGCCGGCAGGAACAGAGCGCTGTAGATGGAGCTGAACTGGGCTACGTACCACTGTACCTACACGCAAACGCACGGATACTTGTTGTCTGTTAGACTGTAACGCTCGGCAGTTGGATCGGCCGGGGTGAACGAGGCAGAGGTAGCTCGATCATGCCCTTGTTCTGAATCCCAGAACCTTTTGTTTAAGTACTACTTCTAATATTCAACGAATCAACGTCTTTATATCTATCTATCTATCTATCACACACACACACACACACACACACACACACAATTTGCACGGCCACATGGCCTGCCACACCTTCCAAGCCGTGCCCTGCGCAGACTGCAGAAACGGAGAATGTTCAGAGGCACCAATACAGGTCGTGCAGAAATACAGACGATAGAATAAAATACAGAGGATTCCATGAGCTAAGCAGCCGCTAGCTGCTGTCTGCTGCTCCTCAGGGTCAATGCATCAAGGAGCTGCGATCCTAATCTTGCCACCCAGCCATCATGGACGCACACATCGATCGATCCCTGTTGCATATGGCCAGCTCGGAGCAGGCGTCGTCATCCGTGACAGCAACGGCGCAACCACCGTACCGGCGGGCGGCGGGCCTCCGTCCTGCTCATCGATCAATCCTGGGCGGACCTCTTCTCGGCGGCGACGGGCGACGGCGATCGATGCCGCCCTGCCGCTCGCCCTCGCTTCCATTCCGGCGGCCGCGCATGTGATCCAGAGCTCGCCACTTCGTCCGCGTACTATACTAGTGTACTAGTCTACAGTAGTCTCCTACGGGTCGCGACATGAACTCGATCGGCAACTTGCTCCGGCCCCGGGCCCGGAACGGATGCGCAAGTACACGTACATGCACTGAAAGTCTGAGATCTATCGTTTGTCGGCTACGCCTAGAAGTACGAACCTTCCAACGAGAAATGCTCGTCTGTTTCCTGAGGAAATCGAAGTACTCGTAGAGATGCAAAATGTTATCGAATCAAGACAAGCTGGCAATTTCATAAAACTGTAACTGTTGGTGATGGATCAATTTATCCTGTGGCATTCCATCGCATGCAAGGCCGAGACATACATCCCTGGCTGTCAGACCAAAAAACTAATAAGAAGCATCAGGTCAACTCTGACCTTAGCTAGAAGCGAGCTTAATCGTTAGTGACGGACCAGCACAATGTCTTCTTCGACGAGCAGATGCAGGGTAGTCCCTGGAAGTCATGAGCCATCCCTGCCAATACTCTCGACGCTAGCCTAAGCAACAGATCGTGTTTTTTCAAAATTCGGTTTTGTGCTCTTCCACTTTACCTCCTGAGGCTTGACATCGAAGTCCCTTCACTTTGTATTGGTATATATTAGACTTTCAAGGAACGTCTTAAGGTTTATTTAATTTTACTATTTTGTGTATACAACGTCTAAACTGCGGTTCTGCAGTTGAGCAAGTGCGATGGTCAGCTCTACTACGAGACAATAATTCGGGGCATGTTCCTGCTCCTCGATCGCCAGCCCGATAGAGTAGATCTGTACATGTAGATTCCTCCATGCATGGGTACGTACATTCCAGCAGTAAGACACCTTTTCAGCCAGTTAGCTCATTGGTTTATAAGTCTTTGCTCGAGAATTGATTTATTTGAGAGAAAAAAACGATGGTGATCGATAATTTTTCTCGCACCAAAAACCAACAAATGAGGCATGAGGATTGCATTGACGAAAGTTTGTGTTTATATAGAACCATACTCCGTACTAGTAGTTGTTAAAATCTACGGTTTTGCCGCACAATTAGTATACTCTCTCCGTTCTCTCTTATAACACACACGTATATCAGTATTCAAATTTTAAAATCTTTGGCCAATACTTCGACTGACAATTTTTAATTAGTACAACGTAAACTTGATATGATCAGATTTATAATTAAATGTGCTATCCAATATTTATAAATATAAACAATATGAAATAAAATAAGCAATTAATTACTCCATCCATCTAAAAATAAATGTACATCTCGCATCTCGCTTTTCGAGAAGTTAAGTTTAACTAATAATATAGAAAATAGTATTAATATTTGTATCTCCAAATAAGTTTATTACAAAAATATGCTCCATCCTTAATCTAATGATATTTATTACTCATCATAAATAATAGTATACTTCTGTATAAATTTGATCAAATTTTAAAAAAATTGACTCCTTAAAAATCGGGATGTGCATTTATTTTCAGACGGAGAGAGTAAAAAGTGTAATTTATTATATTGTCATGTCAATCTGAGTTTTATAAAAGAGAAATGGAAGGAGTACGCCTTTATGATCTTAACTAAGAAGTTTCATTCTACGATTTTAGTCTGAGAAAGTCTATGTCATTTATAGCCGCGCCGTCGTGCTCATGACTGCATCGTCGTGTCATTTTAATTAATTAGCCACCACCACTCCGTCCTCCCTAAAGACCCGATCAAAGTAGTAGCTAATATAACAAGCCAGTTGCAGTTGTCCTCCTCTTCTCGCAGACCAATCAGGGCAACCAAACCCCCTGATTAGTTTAACCAGCAGCCCCGCCGTACGCCCGGGCCCGGCGACCGCTCCGTTCCTCGCGGGGATTTAAACGCGGGAGCGAGAGCAGGCGCAGGCAGCAAGCAACGAACACGCGCTTGCCGCCGGCCGGCACCTTCTCGCGGGCAAGGGCGACGACGTACTGTGCCGTGGATTCCGTTGGATCATATCGATCGTCTTCGTCGTCATGGGTGGTGGCCGGCTGCCGGTGGCGTGCTCCGCCGTCTTCGTCCTCCTCGCCGCGGCGGGATGCGTGTGGGCGCCGCGGGCGGCCGTGGCGGCGCGGGAGTACGCGGCCATCTTCAACTTCGGGGACTCCCTGGTGGACGCCGGCAACCTCGTGGTGGACGGCATCCCGGACTACCTCGCCACGGCGCGCCTGCCCTACGGCATGAACTACTTCGGCTACCCCACCGGGCGCTGCTCCGACGGCCGCCTCGTCGTTGACTTCATCGGTACGCACGCACCCACGCATGGATACAAATACATGTTGCATTATATGTGGTCACTCTCACTCGTTCTAATAGATGGCTTGGCTCCTTGCTTGTCCTCCTCCGCATGCACCCGGCCGGCGATCGAGCAGCGCAGGAGCTGGGTGTGCCGCTGCTGCCGCCATCCAAGGCGAAGAACGCGACGTTCCACCGGGGCGCCAACTTCGCCATCACGGGCGCGACGTCCCTCGACACGCCTTTCTTCGTGGAGCGCGGGCTGGGTCAGACAGTCTGGAACTCAGGCTCCCTGCACACGCAGATCCAGTGGTTCCAGGACATGAAGCCCAAGCTCTGCAGCTCCCCGGAGGAGTGCCGGGAGCTGTTCCGTCGGTCTCTGTTCATCGTGGGCGAGTTCGGCGGGAACGACTACAACTCGCCGCTGTTCGCGTTCCGCCCCATCGCCGAGGCGCACGAGTTCGTGCCCCACGTGGTGGAGTCCATCGGGAAGGGGGTGGAGAAGCTCATCGCGGAGGGCGCCGTGGACCTGGTGGTGCCCGGGGTGCTCCCCATCGGGTGCTTCCCCGTCTACCTCTCCATCTTCCGGAAGCAGGCCGACGGGTACGGCGGCCGCAGCGGGTGCGTCAGGGACCTCAACACGCTGTCGTGGGTGCACAACGCCGCGCTGCGCCGCAAGGTCGAGGAGCTCCGGGGGAAGCATCCGGGGGTGCGCGTCGTGTACGCCGACTACTACACGCCTGCCATCCAGTTCGTCCTCCACGCCGAGAAATACGGTGAGTCTCCGCGCATGCTCCATTGTCCATTCCCATCGCCCTCTCCTGATCGATGTCGGCGTCTCCGGTGGCCCGCCCCGTCTGTGGTCACGGCAGTTTGCGTCTAAGGGTGTCGCAGCGAGCTCGGTAGCTGGGTTCCTTACGGCAACGTGGACGGGCGCTGACACGTGGGACCACCACCAGTCCACGTCCCTTTTGTTTTTAGGAAAAAGATTTAAAACACCGTGACCGTTTCGTTGGTTCGCTCTGAAAAAAGATACGTATCTTTTTAAAAAAAAAAAAAAGAGAGGGAGGATACGCTCAAGGAAGGAAGGGGGGACCTTTGGCTGAGAATAAGACAATTCAGAGATGAGTTAAATAAATACTCCATAGGTAGACGACTAATTAAATTCCTGGAAATCAAAACAACTCAGCGAGAAAGCAACCACGACGCGGACGACACAGCATATAATTAGCTAGTTGCATATGCGTCCTGGCCCCCCATGTGATGTGGAAGCCGTGGAGCTTTCCTGGATGGCGTACTACTCGTACTTTCCTAGCTAGTAGAAACCTAGAACCCCAGCCAACACACAGCAGGTTACCGTACAGTAAGCCCTGTAGCTCCGACCTCTGCTCCCCTCTACTTCAGCCACATGTTCTGATGGACGTTTCCTTTTTTGCACAGGGATGCTGAAGCAGACGCCGCGGGCCTGCTGCGGGGCGCCCGGCGTGGGGGAGTACAACTTCAACCTGACGTCCAAGTGCGGCGAGCCGGGGGCGTACGCGTGCCAGGAGACCCTCCAACCACTGGAGCTGGGACGGCATCCACCTCACCGAGGCCGCCTACGGCCACATCGCCAAGGGCTGGCTCTACGGGCCCTTTGCCGACCCGCCCATCCTCGACACCAAGCATCTCGGCTAACACCCACCGTCTTCTCTAGCGCCGGCCACGACCGGCCGGCCGGCCAGCCAGTACAGATTAATTCGTCTCTACGCAAGAGACGTTGGGCCAGGGACAACGACCGACCTGTAAACTAGTTGGTTGTTGTATAGAGAACGAAAACGAAACGGGGAGGAGGACAATAAGGCCGACGGGCATACCGGCCAACGCTATGTTCTGATTAGTTGGCTGTTCAGATTAATTGGTTTACATACACATAGGTTGTGTTGTTTTTGTTGTTTTGTTTGGGGGGATACATCAGAGATGTTTGTGATTTGTTTGTCGATATTACTGCACTAGCATAGTTGTACTGCTTCTCATAGTCAAGATATGATGATACGCATCAAGTCACTCTCATAGCATCAATCAAGCAAGATGCATCAAAATACAATTAGTCTTAGCAATGTTGCAACAAAGCACGTCACAATTGAAAGTTGTCATAAAGATGATACGCATCAAGTCACTCTCATAGCATCAATAAGCAACAATGCTTTTTCAGCCAACGAACAATATTTTTTCTCCAACGAATAATATTTCTCTCAAATCAAATCACCTAACAAGATTTTGGTAGTATGACTTATCGTACCAAGCGAATAGGGCAAAAAAGTGTTGCCTCACATATTCTAAACTAAATTCTCTATATGTTAACAAGCAAGATATAAAGTAAGTTCTACAATAGAACACATCACAATACAATACAATACAATAATAGTCTCATGGCACACCCAGCACAAACTCATCATACTCATCATCAGCATTTTTTTGTAATTGTATTGCGTATCATTGCATTAAGAAATAATCATATCACCATCCATTGTCACCATCATCCGAAGAGGAAAAAAGTAATACATGGACATATTAGTTACTAGAAGAAAATATTACATTACTAATAAACCTTAAACCATGAAAACAAAGTAGTTTAGTAAGCAGTACTTTGTGAAGTTATGTGAGGAGAGGAGCCTCATTGTGTGTGTCCTGCCTCACCACCACCACCATCATCATCATCTGAAGAGGAAAAAAGTAAAACATGGACATATTAGTTACTCCAAGAAAATATTACATCACTAATTACTAATAAACCATGAAAACAAAGTAGTATAGTAAGCAATACTTTGATCCTCATTGTGTCCCGCATCATTGTCGTATAGTGCCTTAAAATTCTAAACCTCCTTAAAATCCCAAACACGATTCCAATTATTGTTTCCTTCATTGTGTCCTGTTGTCTCGAGTTTTAAGTTCATTCCATCGAGCTAGGAAAAAATAAAATACAATTTCATCATTAAATTAGCTACTCCTAAAAGGATAATATTAATACTAAGTCATTAGAGCACCGAAAGAACAAGGTAAGCAATTAATTCAAAATGTAAGCAAGTTAAATAAGTAAATATTATTTTAATATTAATAATCCGTTAAAACATGGAAAGAACTAGCAAGGTAAGCAATGAACTCAAAATATATGCGTCTTGAGTGAGTAGGTTCTTACCCTGAGAAGGTCTGGAAGGAATACATTGCTCACATATTCAACTAGGTGAATTCCCCGCGCTTTGCCGTGGGTAGCTAGAGAATATTTTAACTTACATTATTGATGATTTGTGTAGTAAGTGACAGAAAAAAATAAGTACATGATTGTGCTGGTTCTATCGACAAAACATGTGAAATGTCAAATTTATATACCAATAGGAAAGACGGGATAGCTGCAACAAAGTGAGCACAAAAATAAGTGAGTAGTCACATTGAAAAAGTAAAAAGGAATCAAATATAAACATAACAAATTGAATGATTATACAACACTAATGTACAGGCCTAGAAGAATAATGAAATAAAAAATGATAAAGCAGTAACCATGATTCGTTGAGCACAAAATTTTAAGGAAATTAGTTGGAAGATGAAGCATGTACAAGAGCGCACTCGTGAATTCATTGTGGTGCCCATGGGTCGAATTTGTGGTGAACCCAGCGATCGATGTCGTTTTATCATGACAAACTTTGTGCGATATCTAGAACAGTCTTATGAATGGCAAACAAAGGAACTCCTGTAGCGAAGTTCCAACTACAAAGGCTTATATACTATCAACAAATCGAAGAAAATTATAAGTTCGCATGAAGTGACCTGCTGAGATATAGCAAAAAAATGAGGTAGAGGCAAGGTTCTGGGATTCTTTTTTAAAAAAAATCGGAGCCCACCGAATTGCATGAAATTTGGAAAATTCGGACCGGTATCCAGTCAAAAACTGAATGAAATTTGAGAAAATTTGAACAAAATTTCCCCAAACAATCAGGCATGGCAGTGGGCTTCGAGAGGATGCACGCGGAGCCGGCATGAAAGCTCAGGTTGCGGGGAGGGCAGCGAACGACGCGGTGGTGGGAGTAGGTGGTGTCGGTGGCACCAACCATGCGTCAGATGCGATGGGCATGTTCGGCTGGTATTAAAGCCGGCTGGTTTCGGCTGATTCAATAGTGTTCTGTGAGGGAGAATAAGCTGAAATAGGCTGACTCGACTGAAAAGTAGTTCAAGCAAACAGGATGACAGCGTGCGTCGAGGAGTGGCCATGGCACGTTGGTGGCGTCAAGGAGCTTCCACGACACGAGCTCAGACGTCGGGAAAGCAACCACGAGCATTGGTGCTGACGGGGAGGAGTAGAGATGACGGTTGCTGGCGGTGGCTTGCAAGAAAGCAGCGCTGGCTAGGGACGGTGATGACGTTTTCCAGCATGAGGAATGTTCATGGGCTCTTGTTGGACCATGAAACTGACTAGAAATTTGAATTGGGCCAAAAATTTGTGACCGATTTACTTTTATCTCGGGCGGGGCCGAAATGGATGAATTTTGGTGAAATTCGGTCCATTCAGGCCAAATCCTAGAACCTTGGGTAGAGGATACCTCCATGTTGTTGCATGTGGAACATATTTACTTTGAGAGTAGTGTAGTTTCAAAGCCTACCATCAAAAGTAAGATGCTAAAAAGAATACTCAACCCTAGACAAAGGGTAAACACATGAAGGAGGACCCTTGGGTGACATCACTTATGGCCTGCTTATAGCAGCCAGGCACTAAACTATGAAAGTGATGGCAGATAGAGACAGAGAGGGGGTACAGTTATGGATGAAAACGGTACGGAAATATCCCATACCGAACCGTATTGTTTTCTATATTTAATCCGATCGAATTTGTATTTTGGACAAATTCGAATTCGGTTCGAAATTCAGAACACCAAATTTGAAATCGGAACAAAAACGATTTAGACATTTTTCTGACTATTTTCTACTTTTCTACTTTTAATTTGGAATATCCCAAATTCGAAATTCGGTTTCAAAATTCGGTTTAAGCCAAATTTGGCCCACTAAAAGTTTAGCCTTAGAAAAATTGTATCTTTTGCATATGATATCGGATGAAGATGATTTTTATATAAAAATTGTAGCTCTCGACAAGATCTACAACTTTCTAGTTTTTAGTTTTTTCATTTGAGGTCTTTAATATGTTCCTAAAAAAATTAAACAAAGTTTCAGTGGTATATGAATCGCGTACAAGCGCTTGTTGCCTTAGAAAAATCATATCTTTCTTATATGGTGTTGAATAGAGATACTTTTAAGAAAGTTGTAGGACTTGTTAATTATTATTCACTTGTTAATTGTTATGCACTTGATCCTACGGATTAATATTCCGTATTGATTTTTGTATACCGACCGTGTTCGACATAATTCCGGTCGAATTAGTTCGTTTTTAAAATTCTCGATATTCCGTAAGTTTGTGTTCGTTTTCATGTCCGGCTTTACCGCTTTTGCTTTTGTTTTCATATTCAAATATAGAAGTAGAAAATGGTTGAGAGGTTTTCCAACCATTTTGACCGTTTTCATCGCTAGGTACAGTGCATGCAGTGGTGATGAGGTAGAATGGATTTAGCAACGACGATTAGAAAGTGACAATTTTAGTTGGGGAATGAATAGTCACAGGATGAAATGTGGGGACGCCTAATAAATAGTCACATGCTGTGTGATGGTATTGTAAGAGTGGGCCTTGAATGATGATCAGTTACAGATTTTACTAGGAAGCAATAGATGAGAGGGTGTGCACTACTGCTGGGTACCAAAGGAAACAATACACTTTAAATGGATGTGCACTACTGTTGGGTACCAAAGGAAACAATAGACTTTAAATGGACGGACATGATAGTAGCCGAGCATGTGATCTGAAGGATAGAGTTTAATGATGACGTGGCTTAACATGAGAACAGAGAAATAGCTATTAATGACATATAGTGCATGGGTTCCATCTATATAGGTTATATAGATATGTAGATAGATGCACAATGAGTAGAATGCTTCACATGATGTTTTTTTGTTTCTTATTATCATTCTTCTAATCAATTTTTGTATTGTTTGTTCTTCTGCATTCAACTACTCAGCCAAATGGACCATCTTTAATGTATTCTCCAACATCATTATTTCTCGTTAAGTAATATTAGAAAAGTAAGCATCACTTATTTTTTATTTCTTCAAATCTTCGGCTATCAGAAATAACCGTTTAATGGTAGGGACCACCATCCCCATTCTGTCATGTGACATGTTTATCGAACCAAATGTATAAACTAATAACATCTCAATTCCATTTGGATCGAGATCAACAAAAGCATAAAATTGGAAGTTTTGAATGAACATAGATCTACTTAAGTAATAACCTTCTTGTCATATCTGGAAATCCACTTCCTATTATAATATACACTTATATGTTCCATGAAAGTTCGTCTGAAATAAATTATAAAACATGCTCTTTTTTCCACAATCAAAATAAAGTTGGCCATCAATCTAATCTTTTGTACTTCTGATAGCACTGGAATTCTATGTACATTTAAATTTGGACATGCTTCATCTTCATCTTTGTCTTTAGCTTTATTTTTAGAACAAATTCAAAATGACTTGCGATAGAACCCCTCAGTTCTAGAATTGACATCAATGATGATTTTGTGCATCTAAACATACAACAAATACTTGATATCAAGTGGTCCTAGACTTTTTGACTCCCAAAAATGTCTTTATAACAGTAGTATACATATCTATTTGTCACAGTAATCCCTATACTAATTGTTTTAACAATTACTGACAT